AGCGTCGAATACTTTCAGCGCTGGAGTGTTTTCATCCATTCGGGCGCCTCGACCTAGCCAACTTAGCCACTGTCACTTAATCCKCTGAACTATCTTAATGTCGTGGCATATCTCAAACATCGTTCCATCGAMTGCGGCATTTGYCGTTGCCACYGCGCAWAGCACCAGCAATTTTTCGAGYAACTTTCTCTCCACTGATCAGATATTGTCATCGTTCCTCAACAAATATCACCTTGCTTAAAACCAAAAACAGAAATAGAAGCTCTACACATTACCACTTCCATTAAGTTAGGGTTAGAGGTCTATCCTAACAGGGATCTTACTTGGACAGCCGGTGGTCGGTCTGTTACCTAAAACTCATATTTAATAAACCTTAAAAGCCTTACTACTCGGCAAAGCGCTTTAACTGGAGAACCTTATCAAATCTTTTGAGACGGCAAATGTGRGTTTTCTGGTTCGCCGACGGTGAGACTGCTGAGATGCTTCAACCTTAGTCTTGCAAAAGCTGGACAATGGAGGGCAAAGTGCCTGAATGTTTYCTTCTGAGGCAAGATGAACTTTGCTAAGGGCAAGTAGTTCAGAAGATCTCCTGCTTTCTATATTAGCCTAAAATAATCTTTTCGGCATGTTCACTATCAATATTCAAAGCAGTCGAGAAAGTATCACACTCCGCGGGCTCCTTCTGCTTACCCTTCGGGATGTCTGTGCTGTTTGCCCACTCCGTTACGATTGCTCTCGCGCAAAAGAGATCTCAAACATTTCGAGGTCTATAACCATCGCCGCTGGTCGCACATTACTGAAATCTCCTACGATGTAGAAAAGATTTCAACAGCAAATTTTTTTGTGGATAAGGGCTCTATCCAGCCATGATACTACTTAACTGTTTACCTCTCGTTATTATGCTCCTAAAATACAGATCCATGATTATCTTCACGTTTTCAGCAGAAATTCTGGCTATCCTGATTAGCCCAAATTTGCTTGCACCAAYATGAGACGTCTTCATTGCCTCCAGTATAAACACCACCTTAAACAGTCCTTAGGCCGTCGTCACATGGCCTATCCTTAAACAGTTCGGGTAGATTTGAGTAGTATTTCTGCAGCACTTCTCATCTTCACAACAACATAATAAAGTCTATAAAAAGCACTACGCATCGCGTCAGGTATGCACTATACACATGCGCTATATACGTATGAGAGCAAACCTTTTATATGCTTTGATGTTGCAAGCAACAAATGATTCGTGGAACTTTGCGAATATGTTGTTTTAATAAACATACTTTTTATGCGCTTTCAGGTGGAATTATACAGGTGCTGCAGTTAGCTGGAAATTTGTAATAGGATTACTGAAAACTGCCCTCGGTTCTCTAAGCCAGCTAGGCCGTACATGTGTTCTATATATACGAATGGATGTATTTGTATGTGTGCGAAGAGATGACACATACATAAATCTTAAAAAGTGTTCCGAGTATTCAATTCGTGTGATTCCATTCCCTGAATCCAGCAATGACAAATACATACATCAGTTTGGTGGGACCCCATGTGTGTTGYAGATAAGGAGGAAATGTGAGATATTAATCTTCGAAGAACAAGTTTGCAATCTYTCTCTTAATGTTGCTGGAAAAACGCTTTGGTTATAGGAGGAACTCGAAGAAGAGGAGAACTATTCCGGTATGGATTCCGAATGAAAAAGAAATACAAGGAACATGTTGAAAACGTATTCTTAAAGAGACTTTAAAGGGTGCAATAAAACCACTGARAAACAGAGAAGGACTTCTTCTTATTCGCAAAATGTAGCAAACTCATGWTTTTCTGAATACAAAATTTAAAGCTTTTATAAGCACGATCTTTAGAAGCTCTTCAAAGCTGATAAAAATGCTTTTAAGTCGGATTCAAAGGCGACCGAAAAAAATTTTAGAGTTCGAAAACTTTAAGTATTTTTAATAGGATTGCCAGGTTTAATTTAGTCAAGGCAAAATAGTTTTAATTAAGATAAACTCGAAAAACKTTCGATAAGGGTTGCCAACTATTTATAAATGRTTTTTTTTTAATTTTAAACTTGGGAAATAAAAAAACTTAAAATTATTGCGTGCAATTTTTATAATCGAACCTAAGCAATATTAAAATCAAGCTGCCTAAAAGTTTCTTTTCGTTTGCCACCAGCCTAAGAGAGCTTTTTAATAGCTACAAATAATTTGATAAGAAAAGTAGTGCTTAAACAGTTTGATACTGAAATTTGTACAAAATTTCAAATAGAGTTGTCGCCTAAAAATTTGTTTAAAAAATAAGAAACCGTTATCAAGTGCATAAAATTTGGTTAAGTTGTTGCTAAAACAAGTAATTAGGGCTGCAAACTTTAAAATTTACTTATTATTATTTTTTCTAGAGTTGCCACATATTTTTAATTTTTGTAAAAAAAAATATTTGCGTACACTGAATTAAATTATTCATCAATAGCAATATTTCAAGCATATCATAACATGCCTAATACTCTTTTTAAAATATTTTCAGACTCATGAATTTTATATGAACTTTTATGACAAGCTTCTTTCGACAAGCCACTTGCCGACGTGCACATATGCTGCTTACCGGAGAACACATACAGAAGTTCTTTGCGCTCATATTGATTTATCATATTCACGCAGAGTTTTGAATTCGTTTTAGTATTTGCTGGTAGAGTTTTTCAACGWCTAGCCGCCCACTTTCTTTACAGCAGAGCTTTTGGTGAGAAAAAAACGGCAACTTCACTCAAAAAAAATGCAATTCTCAAGTGCGAATTGGTCACTGCAACAAGGAAAGTACGTAAGTATGCTCGTGAATTTCGCTTGTATGTAAGCCGGCATTTTTTTAATCACATTTGAAATTTTCAGGAGCGACGTGAGTTGCCACATTCGGCTAAATGCTGTCCTTTGCACGTTTCTTCGCCTCGGCGCTCAGCTTTTGCCCCAATGCGGTGCAGTGAAGTGTGGCAAAGCGGCAAGCGCAAAAGAATACAAAGCTCTATGCAACACTGCGTGAAACACATATGCACCCACACACAGATGTCTAACTGTTAGCTGTTGGCGTTGGTGTTGCTTGCGCGCTGTCAATGACAGATTGAGAATTTGAAGCAGCAAAAAAATTGCTGAAGAGCCAGCCGGAGCAGCGGTGGCGCACATGTGGCAGCATTTGTTAAATGCACTGGCACACACTCACGCACATACTTACTTATCTTTTATACACACACATAAGTACGCATGTGTAGCGGGCCTTAATGTTTGACTTCCACTTAGCGCGTTGTCAATGCAACGCCACGGCAGCGCAAGTCAATGTGTGTATTATATTCAAGCGGAAATGCACCCATACACACATACACACATCCACACACATGTACAAATATGTGCCTTCATATATTCTCATATTTTTTTCAGCGCCTTCACTTCGCCACTAGAAAACTCATAATGCAATGTTCGCGCGCTCGCTTGCTGGCAGCAAGTAGTCGCCAGAGAGCTAAAAGCAATCATCGTTTAATGTCATAAATCGCTTTGGAATTACAGAAATTCTCCACATTACTATCCAGCGCGGTTCGAGCTGTTGAGTAGCACTCCATTTTATGGSATTACGAATGCCAAGAAGGCGTACGAGTTGAATTTAAAGTTTGACACATTGTGTGGCAAATTGTTGCTGAAATAGTCACTTAGCGTAAATTAAGACTTAACATACTTGTCAGAAATCATATGCAATGATATTATTTGGAATTCAGGCATTATATAACTTTACACTGGTACATGCAGTCATGGTGGAGGGGCAAGCAGTCAACCATTATAATTTTTGCGGGTGAACTTGAATTCGAGCTGCAACGCGTGATTGATTTTTTAAAATGCGGCAAATAAAGCGAATGAGTTAAAAAGGTGGCAACCTGTTTTGTTTTGTTTTTGCTATTTGATTTTGGTTGAACATTATTAAGGTCGCACTTATATTAWTGAGTTTGTTATAAAAAAAATCGAATTTTCAAACAAATAAGGTTGCCACCAGTTTTTAGTTGAACTCTTTTATTGGAATAGTAGTTTGTTAGTAGTTTAGTCGTTTTTTACAAACAAAACGCGTATTTTGCGACAAAACAGTTAAGAAGGTGGCCACCTTGTTTTATGCAAAAATTGTTTTTATAAAAAATATAATAATTTCTTGAAGAAAGAAAAARACTTTTGGAAAAGCGGTTAAAATTTTTGCGGGGTGTTGCCACCTGTTTATATTTATTTGTAGTATATATTATATTCTAACACATTAATTGCGGTACTAAAAAATAGAAATAGAAACAAAATTTCTGTTAGCTATTTGTTAGAAAAGCTGCCATTTTGAGAGTGTTGCCAAATTTTTGAAAATGTACAGTCACAAATTTTMAAATATGGGGAAACACTCTAATATGGATATAAAATTGCTAAAATAGAAAAATGCATAGAGCACAAAATATTTGTGGCGAAGGTTGCCACCTATTAAACTCTTTGTATAAAAAATTTGATAGTTAATAACTATTAATAAACTAATTTTAATATAATAAAATAAACATTAAACTTTGTATACTGAAGTAAGGAGGTTTGAGGAAAAATGTTGGCGATATTTTAGAGCAAAGCTGTCACTTTATTGAGAATTTCTAAGCAAAAAATTTATTTAATTATAAAACCCAGTAAAGTAATCAAAGTGCAAAGTTTCCAGTAAATATACCGGTGAACTTATTTTTTGAAAAGGGGCTGCCACATGCAATTTTTTTTAATTCCATAAAAATAATAATATAAAGTAGGTGTTTCCATAACGACATCAAATTAAATATTCGTATCAAAATTTTTTTGTCAAATATGTTTTTAACAAGGGTTGCCACATATCGAAGCCCTAAAAAAAAATTAGTTTGAAAGCACTTCTGTCAATCACTAATACTCAATTTTTGCTTCCTACCTCTRTATATTTTTTTATAACTTGTTTTGGAATGTTTTCAAATATGTATGTATTATATGCAAATTTCGACTTACTCGCTTTCTGAAAGTCCTGTGACTCGTCGCAGCCCGTTGGACCCCACGTGCTGGCAAGTAGCATGCAAATCAGCAGCAATTGTTCGCTCCAACCATGCTGCAGCCAGTGCAGCGAGTGCCGAATACTGTAGATTTTGTTGTTGTTGTTGCTGCTGTTGTTGTTGTGCTTGCCATTCAACACAGTGCAAGAACATTTTCTTCGCACCCAACGACGACTCTCTTGAAGGCGGCATAGCTTTGTGTTTGTTGTAGTTGTACTTRTTGTTTTTGTTGTTGTTAATAGTGCTTGCGCAGCAGCATTTGTTAATGGGAATTTTTGATTTATAATGATGTGGGAAATTTGCGGGGTTGCCATTTTGTTGCACAAGTCTGCAATCCGTCATTTATGTATGTACGTGCAACACGGGATAAGTTTCTGTGGAATCTCTTGTGTTGCGTGCTTTTTAGGTTTATTTGTTGTTGTACACTAGTACACTTTGTAATTGTTTTTAATTTAACGGTACTTTTGCGCACTTTGTTTTTGGAGCACTTGCAATGCTTACACGTATTGTTGATATGTTGTTGGTATTATTGTTGTTGTTATTGGCAAGAATGTGTAAGAGTTTTTRATGCGACCGAATGTCAGCAGTGCGTCTACAATACTTGCCTTTTGTAATTGGATAGTTCTCTTGCTGTTTGTGGCAGCAAAAACTTGGCATTACACTTAATTACAGTGTTGCCACCTATAAATGCTTTTGTTTTTGCGRCTTTGCTGTTGGTATACAGCACACTGTTTTTTTTTTTACTTTTTCTAGGTGTTTGCTGCCTCAAACGTTCGGCGACAATGGCGTCAAGTAAATACTTATTTTTGTTGTTTTTTTGGCTGCGTATGGCAACACTTTAGTTTTATGTTTCGTGAATTCTCGTTTCCGTGTTTTTGTTTGGCGCYATAACGGCAACTACTGACACTACCACTTACAGGCAGAAGCAATGTCATTTACAGTTGTATTTGCTACTGTTATTATTGCAGTTATTGCTGTTGTTGTTGTTGCTGCTGGCAGCAACATTTGTTTTAAATGAGCTTCTGCTGTATGCGTGCACCTCTGCAATGCCATAACATTTTATTATCGTGCCGAATATTTGTAGGTACTTATTGTTGTTGTTGTTGCGCATTTATTTAATTTTTTGTTGCTTTCACCTTGCTTGGTTTTTTTTGTTAGTTTTTTGCTGTAATCAGCGGTAAATATGCACGCGGACGCTCAAATGTTGTTGCAGTGTTGTGGTTGTTGTTGTTGTGTTTACAAGCACTTGAACGACACGCTCTTAACGTTTATTGTTGCTGTTTTTATATTGACTTGTTTGTTTTATCAGGCGAGTCCTCACTCCTTGTTCGTCCTTTAAGTACCGTTTTTTTTTTGCTTCTTTTTTATTTTATTTTAATTTTTTCTCCTCTCAGTTTGCCATTTACGGTCGATATTTCAGCTCTCACGCACACACTCACACTTTCCTGCAAGGTCCTGCCTTTTGGCGATCCTTGCGTTTGTTCAGCCGTTAAATTTGCCGCACCAAGGTTCACAAAAATCTGAAAATTTGCCAGAAAATGCAAAATATTTATTATTTTATGTTTTATTAACTTGGACAGAGAGAGAAGAGAGGAGACAAAGTTAAAGACATAAAAAGATGTACATATGTAATTAAGCTTATCAAAGGAAGTGGTAAAGTGTGGTCATAAAGGCACATGATGTCCCGAGCTGAGTTTATACTATTGTGCAGATATGAATGGACTTTTTATCATATAAATAGTTAATTAATAGTGGTAAGGCAACCTTTTAAGTTGCCATATCACTGCAGTATATTTCAAGCTGAGGTCTTTGGTTTTGCGAAAGATGCGGAGCTGGCTTCTAATGCATCTGCAGACAATTCCACTATCAATATCGRCATAGACAGCCAAGGTGCAATTAAGAGAATATCGCATATCGGCTAAAAGTGTCTTGGAAGGCAGAGCCGCAGTAAAAAGTGTTGGCAGAAGTGAGCAACTTCACTTCGACTGGGTGCCAGGTCACAAAGGCATCAACGAGAAATGTACGCCTAAGTCAATGGCAATTTCTGAAGAAATTGGTTATATCGAGTCGCTTTAGCTTACAGTTGACATACAAACTGAACGGTCAAAACCGAGTTCTTATAGGGATTCTCTGGTATTTTTGTATAGGGTTATTTGTTTTCTTTACTCTTCATGAAGAAAAAATATATATGTACATATGTAGTAACATATTTTTATTACACACTGTGTAAAAAAAAGGTTAAGTTGAAACATAAAAACTTCCAATCACATGTTCATACATATCAGCAAAAACTTAACATACTTAGACCATAAAGAAGTGCCTAAGAGAAAATTTAAAACTCTCTTAAAAAATGTTTCTTAAATCTTCAAAGGCGAAGAACTTCAATTTTTTTGCTACACTTTTTGGCATTTCTAGTAAGTCGGTGCTGGAAATTCATTGCATTCTTGCGCCAAGAGAACTTCATTCAGGCAAAAAATCACATCAAACATATATACTCACACTTACCTACAAAAGCACRCACACATATATTCACAAACACATTTATAGGCACTTAGCGACAACACTAGCCTAGGCAAAAGTGGGGATAAAACAGCGCAGCCAACAGTAAAATTGTCAAAATGCAGCAAAAATTTGCATATTTTTCCAGCATATATGTACGAGTATGCATGTGTGCGTGTGTGTGTTTCTGTGTGAAAAAAGTCATTTTTATTGACAGACGCAAAATCGTTAAGTCGTAAATTGTGATCGTAAAATGTAAAAACATGAGGTTAAAGGGTTGAAATGAGTTGTTTTCGCAAATTTTCCTACTGCTGTCATGGTTGTTGTTGCTCTTGCTGGCGTTGTTGTTATTAGTACACGACTGTTTGACGCTCTTTTAAGTGCTAGTTGACTGGTGCAAATGTCGATGATTTCGACTCAATGAAATACATTTTTATGTGCCGAACACATTTACATATGCAAATGAGTGTGTGTGTGTTCGAGTTTGTTTAACTGTAAATCTAACTGCATGTGGACACATGCAAATGCTGTGCGAGCAAGAGCAGTCATAAAGCTAGTGTTAAATCTTGAGGGCGTCAAGCAGTAATTCTTTATGCGTCAAAGAGCAGTGGCATTACGCAATTCCCAGTGTAAAAAATGGTAAAATTCTTTGCTTCTTACTCAGTCTGTTCGAAGRAATTCATAAAATTACTGTAGCGTTGGTTTACTTTATCACGGTCGTGGGAAATTGCCTCACAGTCACAGTTATATGAAAGAGCAGCGGATGAAATATGCGCAATAAGGGCTCAGAAGTGGGTCCAACCTGCAGAGAAATAATTTTGGACTTAAGTTACAGTTGCTTGATAAAACTCAGTTTCAGAAACACTCTAAAGTTTGGTCTAACCTTTAGTTTCAACATTGTTTTGTATTCTGCATAAGGYTCTTTCGAGCTTTTTCAGTTAAATATTGAAGTCTGATACTGATTTTGTCTTATTAATACGATCTCAGACCTGAAAAATATATTATTTGACATGCTAGCCAGTAAAGACCTGAAGTTATCTGTTCCACGATGACCGGGCTTACATAAATAAAACGGATACAGGTTTAAACTTTTTAAAATTATTTAAGGTCATCTCTAGATCAATAAACATTTCACACCGCCGAATCCATTGTGCAGACTCCCGAAGCAGAGAGATTAGTTGTTGTTGTGGTAGCGACCAAAAATCAGTGTCCGTTCCGGTTACGTAGAGCCGACTGTCGTGGGAATGAAAGCAGAGGAATTTCTCCATACACGGTTACCTAATAGAGACTTTCCAATCTAAACGTTTTGATCCATTTTAAAAATATTGTTTATTTAAGGCGGAAGGTTTGTCGCTATAGTTATAAGCACAAAGGGGGAGGAACTGCCGTCCTTTGGTGACTAAACTACTACTACTACTAGTAGTAGACTTCCTCGAAGTCTGTGGACGATACCGTTGGCTCACTGGCTCACTCCTCCGATATGAGCCACCTTCCCATGTAGGGGTTGGTTTTGAAGAACTCAGTGCAAGCCAACACCGCACCGAGACTCTCCTAAAGTAGCCGCTGAACGCTGTGTGGGTATTGTTAATTCGCCGCTAATTTTTACGTCGAAAGACCTTAAACTACCAGCAACCTGTACCCCTCTGGTCGCCTACGGCTTCTCAAACACAGATTACCTCATTTCCGCGAACCGAAGTCCGCAGGTCCTCTGCTTCAATAGGAGACAATGAGACAAGAGAATGATAATGTCGATAATCCAGTATTGTTTACAAGTCTACCAATCTTATGCGCTTTGTTATTTTTATGCTTTTGTTGGATAATAGTTGTACTGTTTAATAGTTATAACCTCGAATACTGCTATGAATCAACAGTCTCAAAGAAGAAATTTTTTACTTTGAAAATAGTTGAAAATTTAAAGTAAGAGTTTTCCCACTTTGACCAAAGTGTCCTTCATAGATATCTCATCAYCGCCGATCCGATATTTGAACACCAATGTTAAGAAGTTTCTGAGGAGTCTCTTAGGGTCTTCGATTGAATGTCTATGGGGATGTATTATGTACCGATAACTAAGTATGTACRGGATCATTGTAACTCATAAAAAAGGAGTCACTGGAATAAATGGGTATAATCACGCGAGATAATTAAAAAAAAAAAGACAGAGCAGGAAGAAAGAAAGAGAGACAGATAATGTTAGAGCATTTTCATAATGGATTARTCAAGTATTTCGTGTCCCAAGCTCGGATTACAGTCAAACTATAGATTTTCTTGTAAATTTCGCATCTTCCTGCTTGAAATATTCTGTCGTTGTAGAAATTTCGAAGAATCTCCATAATTAATTACAAAGAAGTTATGTTTTGTAAGTTTTCTAGGTTTCTAAGCTTCAAAGCTCAAACATCCATAAATAATCCAATGATTGAAACATGCTCACTTCTCTCGAGGTGAGTGTTACCATATTGTCATACAGTTACTGCTGAAGCCAAAATAACTGCTTTTCGACAATACATTCATAGAAAAATATTTATTTGTTGGTCATTGAAAATTTCAGCGTCAATTTTATTGCGCAAAAAACAACTGAACTCCACACTCCACAAATCACACGGCACGCTCTGTGGTGAATTGATGGCTGAAATGTGATGCAAAGCAGAAAATAAAATTTTGATAGCTGCTCTAAAATAAAATATTCACGCCATGAATATTCCACATACACATTGCGCGTATTTGTTGTTTTCTGTTTTTTTTTTTGTTTTTTGTTTTTTGTGGCACAATGCGACATTGCCCGGGTGGCTCGGCGATGCCACCCTCTTTGCGCGCTGCCGTTTCCGCTGCCGGGCTGCGCTCGTCCCGAGGGCTAAGAATTTACATTTTTATGCGCGTTCCCATCAGCTGGATAAAGCTCGGTAAAACAAGCAATTCTAAAGGAACCAACAAGAGCAAAAAAAAAAACAAAAACAAAAACAAAAACAAAAAAAAAAGATAAAAAAAAAATCGAAACAATCAACACTTTTATTGCGTGTCAAATTTTCCTGCAGATGCGCTCATACTAGGCTAACAGCAGGATAACGGCAATTAACTCACAGCGAACAATATTTACCGTAAAATGAATGGAAACAAAAAATTCATAATAATTATTGCAACAAACACAATGAATGGCCCGCATGATGGCAACCCTCCGCTAAAAGTRCCTTAAAGAGCCAACAAACACACACACGCGCCAAACAAATAAACAAACAAAGTCATAAATACACACAAACACACATATACACATATGAATATTAAAATTGTGTGCTTGCGCTTGAGGGGTTCATTAAAGGGTGCGATGTCTGGCGCTATAAGGTTTCTGTTGATTTAATGAAGATACTCGTGAGCGTAAACAGTTATGCAGCGTCGCCCTCGTCTTCACGCCACATTAAAATCGTATAAATACATATACAGTTATGTTAATGTACAGGCAGCTATGTATGTATGTCTGTCCGCATTTGATGCAGAATGCATAAAAARTTGTTAATCAAAAAACGCACACACGCACATCCATACATATGCGCACATATTAAGTGGCCCGTCGGTGGGCAGACGAGACACACTCTGTCCATAACATTCGGTACACGACGGTGGCTAATTGCTTGATTGAAAACACGCCTGTGCAAAGTGAAAAAATATATGGGTGGACCCACWYAGCAAACAWATAAATTTGTAACTCTTATGGTTGWGGCACCGTTCCAGGAAGTGTGCATAAAAATATGAAAAACTGTTGACAAATACATCTACATATTTACATACATMTGTATGTCTGCGTATGTAAAATAWTTGATAAATATGTATTCATACTCATTATTATTACTTCAAGCTCTAAAAGACTAGAAACGCATGAAATATTAATGCTCGATAATTTCACCAAATCGGGAAGGATCTTTCCGAGCCGTTCGATACCAAACGAGGTTTCAGACAAGGCGTATTTCTTTCGTGTGACTTCGTCAGCCTACTTCAGGAGAAAATAGTTCGAGCTACAGAGCTAAATAGAGAGGGTAGAATCTTCTACAAGAGTGTATAACTGCTGGCGTACGCCGATGGCATCGACATTGGTCATAGCAACAGCGCCATTAGTTTCGCTTTGAACAAAGAAGCAAGTGGATCTGGTAGTGAACGAGGGAAAGACGATATATGTATAATATTTGCTATCATCAAACAAACAGTCGTCGCATTCGCTCTCCAACGTCACTGTTCACTGTMACAGTCATAACCTCGAAGTTGTAGATAATTTCGTCTATCAATTGAYATGTCGAGGCTATGGTGCGATATAAAGAGTGAGTGCCCGTTCATAGCTGTATCACTGGTAAATGCAAAGCCGATGTGCTAGCGAGAGGTGTACCCTTGCCGCGGTCACATCGGGATGGAAACTTCATTGGCGTCTCGCGCTTTAGCACTTTAGGTGTGAGCTTACCAAACCCCGGTCGACGACTAGTTCCTGTGCGACAATGAGATCCGTTTGGCTTAGAGTAGAACGATGGTGATCTTCTGCACTACTTGGCCTCAGCAAAGTTCATCTTGCCGCATACACAGGGTGTGTTAACGGACGCTAGTTTACAAAGCTGTATGGGGGAGGACTAGATGGAAACATTCAGGCACTTTCTTCTCCATTGTACACCCTTTACAAGAAACATCTCGGTTGTCTTACCTTCGTTGAACTCGAAGACATAGCAGAAACTGACATTRGCCGTTTTCAGACATTTGTGATATGCTCAAACGATCTCATGATATATTATTATGACGGGCCGCCATTCCAAACTATCCAAGTCAGACCTCTGTTAAGATCGACTGTTTAACTTAAACTAAACTGACATTTTTCTTATAGAATATAAAACTTTCCTATATATTTCTATGTCCATAGTAGCCTGAATAATCGTTTTAAAAATAGCATAAGTAAGCTGAAACCGATTTTGTTAGTTTTCAATGGTACGAATAGCGTGTTCTAAGAATCTAATGTAATTTAGTTGAATCCGGTCAGTTTCTTAGTGAGATCATGTATTGAGCAATTAAGTGAGTCCGTATTTGCATCATTAACATCATTCTTAACGCAAAATGCAGGTGTTTTCTGATGGCTAAAAAAAAAGTGATGGAGACTTCATTAGCAATTTTATCAAASAAATTCTCTTAGCTCAGTTTTAAGAATTCGGATCTACGCCAACAAAGAAGAAGAGAGATTAAGATAATGAACTTTTTTGACGCGGACAAAACAACTTCCGGGTTGATTCGCAAGTGCTTCCTGTTTATTTGAACATCTAGTGTAGTTCGATCGACTAACTGCTCTCCAACATTAGACCAATTGAAGACAACTACTATAGAATAGCATAACCAAATAACAAAGTGCGTTATTAATTACTATAATTCTATAATATAATATAATTTAATATAAGGATAAAACAATTTTTAAGCGACGAGCATATGAAAGAAGATTATAATGAAAAGTAAGAAAACAAACTTTATAGACCCTCAAAAAACCACTTAAAAGCTAATCCCGTTTAAAGACTCTCAATATTTACCAAGCGCAGCACATTAGCGATGACTACCGTTCCACCGAACATTTCAATTCAAACTGCTGTTAATTAGAAARGCAAGCAAATCTTTTATAGGCTCACAAAAGAAATTTAAAGCGGATTTTTCTAATCCCAAACACAAACAACAGAAGAAGAAACGGCGAAGATAAATATACAAACCTGGAAGCATATGCGAGTTATTTAAACTCCAACACAGACTGGCTAAATAAACATATAACACACTGGATTATGACGGCAACGTGTGACGGAAAGGCGTGATGACGAAGAGAACCCGGATTAACAATTTTGCGCAAACAAAAGCGAAGCTTTGAAGTGTTTTTGAAAGTCACTTAACATTTTTCTTAGAATTTTTTGTTTTTCGTTTTCTCGGTTCTTCAAAAATCTTCCGACAATTTAAAAGTGAAATTGTAATGTAGCGCCGAGRCAGCATCGTTCAGCTTGCCGAAATGGAGCTTGGAAAAAGTGTCGCTTCATACGACASGGCCAGCTGTTGCCCACTTTAGGGCGCCCGGCAGCTATTATCCTTTTAAAACAAACAAAAAGCAATTGCAAATAAAATTTGAAAAACTTTYACAAAAAATGAAAACACAAACAACAGCAAAAAATATATACCCTAAATATAAAAGTTGTCCAAGAAAAAATGCCAAATCCGTTTAACATGCATTGTTTGTCTTGGCGTGGTATGTTATCACCCAACAAACGAAACGACACCGGCAGCAGCGGCAGCCACGCGAGGTGCGAAGGGACTTACTGTGCAACGCAAATGCGGGATTAAACAAAAACACAAGAAAATAAAAAATAAATTTATTAGACTCGCACAAAGGACCGCTGGAGGGGTGCGGCCAGGGGTTTGAGCGCAAGGTCCACGTTCTTTTTGTCTTGTCGTGTGCTTGTGTAAGCCTTTCATGGCCAAACAAATTGCGAAAGAAATGCAAAGCCACACACAAACGCACACATAGAGAGAACACAAAGTGCGGCCAGGAAAGGTTCGTCGCTTGTAAACTTTCAGACACATTTGTGTTGAGCACAGCAAATAAAAATAAAAAAAACCAAAAAGAAAATATAAAAAAAATAATAATAATAATGAATAAAAAGTGTAGCGCAGCTTAAAAGCGAGAGTGTAGGACAAGATTATTAATTAAAAGGGTTTGGAAGCGATTTAGGGCGCTCGCCAGAAAGTGAAATTAAGTCGAATTTGAATGCTGCGCCCAGCCACAGCGCGCTTTCTAAGCTCGGTACGACGCGTGGGCGCAACCGTTGCTTGCCACTGTGAAGGCGTGCGAAAGTTCGACAGTTGCTAAGCTTAGCAATTGTAAATTGAAGTGCCTTTTTAATAAGATGAAGGCAATTTTTTTTTTTAAATTTACCCAAGCAATTTGATAAATTACAGGGGCGCTGCGGAGGGGGAATATGGCAGCTGCCATATTTGAGCACTTCTTTAATTACTTGCTGTTACTTTTACGAACTGCTAGAGTTKGACAGACGGCGCAGCGCCTTAAGTTTAATTCAGCATAAACAAATAATATGAGGTGACTATTTAAATAAAAAACTTGTAACGGGGGCCGGGGCGTGCCAATTAGGTTAGATTGTAGAAAAGTAAAAGGTAAGGAATGGTTGACATGTAAGTGAAATTGGAAATTGAAAAAATATGTAAAAGTAGTAGGCAGTAAGAAATGGTATGAAAGAGAAAGAAATTCTTAAAAAAGAATGTGAAATTCGAAAAGTTTATGACTTTTATTAAGCGTTCTGAAACGCCTAACCTAACTCGCCATTTGTTGTTTTTTGTTSTTTTGCACTCGTGAAATTGCGGACAGTTAAAATTGATACGGGATGAAGTGCAAAATGGTAAAGCATTCTTTGGCATACTTATTTTATTGGACTTTCTGAATTGTATGAGTTGTTATGTGAGTAAGAAATTACAATGAAATCAAGAGAAAGGGTTGATTGTATGGTTGGCTATATGCTACAGARGTTCGACCAGAATGMTAGGTTCTGAGAATTTAGTGATAATATTGTGAAAATAGATTATAGTAGATTTTGGTAGTTCACTTCGCCCTGGGGTCCGCATCTGCTTGTCAGCTGATCCTCAGCGAGTGAGATTGAGGAAATCCTTAAATACTGCAAACTTATACTACTCACACATGAATGTAGGGTAATAAGGCTGCATGGAACCGAGAATCGGCTAGTGCGGAGTCTGTCGGTTTTCTCAGCAAAACGAAAGGAGCCAAAAGCTTTGGGTCCGAAAGGATGGCCCTTAGGATACTCCCGACGGATGCCAAAGCTGATGGACAAGCTTAGACTTCAGATGTGGTGGATACGGAGATGGCCAAAAGACCCCGAAAAAYGACCCCAGTCTTTCGAACATAGAGRGTTCTRGGGGTGGTTCGTAAATTGGCGATTTAAATTGACGACCACAACTTCAAACAGCCGCTAAAGYGCGGGCTGAGTTAGCTGTTTTAGAAGATAGTATGAAGGATAAGGACCCTCCAGGTTTAAGGTAAAAAGATGGAGTCATGTTCAGCCTGATCCAGGCGTGTCTAACTTGTGTCGGCACCTCTGGATTGAAGCTGCTGGCGACCTACGATGTAGCTGATCCGAAATAAATTAACGGTATGGAATGCGGCKCTGAAAATTTCTGCTTAATCTTTGCTTACTTCTTGCACGACGATGAGGTAGAACCACCTTCCTTATTGTTGAGGAAGACTTTGGCAGAATCGCCACGAAGAGGCGTCATCGTTGGCTCCGACGCCAACTCGCGGCTTACAATCTGGCGAAGCTCGGATATTAATAACAGAAGTGAATCGCTCTTTGATTTCATTGTTAGCGAAAACCAATTCATACCATCAATCAACCTCCGWATTCACCAGATTTGGMYCCAGGTGATTTTTTCTTGTACCCCAAACTGAAACTGGCGCTCCGTGGAACACGTTCTCAGTCGACCAATGACATAAAATCGAATTCGGTGAAAGAGCTGAATGCCATCCTAAAAAGTGATAAGGAATATTGTTGTTATTACATCTGGTGGGGATTACTTTGAAGACGACAAAATAAATTTTTATGAATAATTAAKTWTTTTKYKTTTTATTTACAATTTCGGTGTAGTTTTTTTCCAAAATGTATATTTAACTCTTTTTATTTGAATATATGAAGGAAAATCTTAACAGAAGCTCAATCTAAAATGTTATTCCAATTTAAAGTGGTTAGCACCAAGCCGGCTGACTGTTAGCTGCGAACTTTAACCTGCATTTGCTCGAAGCAAAGCGTACTACAGACTCATCCTTCTGTGTATGCGATATTATTTTGGAGAATTCGCAGCAAAAGTTCTGACGTAGAGGCGAACACGAAACTYTAAAAGCAAGTAGTCAGGTGAAAGYGCTGTAAAATTACCTCCACAACAACAATTACACCAWCAGCACGAACTGAATGTTTGTGTGCGTACGCTTTTAAGGCAGAATTGCCAGAGCACCCGTCCGATTTAATTGGCACTGTGACTAAGCGAACGTCAGCAGCATGAACAGGTGTTGCACGTAACGGAGGGGCACAAGCGCTGCCTGTGGGCAAAATGAGAATAACAAATATTTTGCGTAACTAAGTGCTTTGATAAAACTTGCAGCGAGTGTAAACAGAAATTTCACTCGAAAGTCCGGCAGCTTAAGTCAGCGCTTCCAAAACTACTAGCAGCAAAAACAACAGAGCAACAAAAACTTTCACAAAAAAACTGGGAGAGTGTGCTTGAAATGCGAGAAGCTGCAAATTTAACGAAATACCAATGAAAAGTGTAAGTTCAAAAGTTGAAATTTGCGTCGATAAGAGCGCATTAATTACCAACAAACATACAGACGCTTAAATCATAGCCGAAAAGTTTGCGCGCTCACCAGCTGAGTAGCTGGCTATGCAGCGCTACGCACATACATAGGCGCACACTTGCATATACACGCACACATAAGCAAGCGCGCGGCGCGGAGAGGTGTTGCTTTGAGCCACCGGCAAAAAATGCTCCCCTGCGTCGCTTCCTGGCACAGCCTAAAAAGTTTTAATTTTTTTTTTTTTTTAATTGTAATTTTTAATTTTATTTTGAGTTTTTCCCTGTGCGCTGCTGTTTGCTGTGCGTTGTTATTGTTTGTATTTGTTGCTTTGAATGTTTTAGCTTAATGAAGTTCCATGAATGTGGCGCAGACTAACACCGGATTTTACCGCTATTCGGCAAACACTTGTGCGCAAAACGCGTGGAGCGAACCGTCGGATGGACAAATGGACGCGGCTGCAGTTAGAGGGGCGGAAGAGCGGACGGACATGTGCCGCTCTGTGGCACGCCGGCGTACGCAAACTTTATAAATAAATAAATAAATTGGCCTGGCGCACAATCAACGCAACTTTAACAAAAATAACGGAATAATAAAGCGCACAAACTGATACACACACACGCGCGAAACATAGCAAAAACCAAAACAAGCGCAGCCGAAAAAAATTAAAATGAAAATTTTCAAAATGAGGTAAGCGAAAATGAGGCCAAAAGGTCAATTTGACTGCGGTGAAATCGTAAACGGCGCTGCGCTTGTGTGTGTGTTCATGGCAGAGGGTATCAGTGGGTGTGTGGTCGCGCTCACGCGATTAACGCTGTGTTGGTGCGCGCCGCAATCAAAAATTTTGGTCCACCGACAGTCAGGCAGTTAACGCTAGGGACACGCGCGCACACACACAGAGACATACCAAAACATACACACAATATAGCACAGCATATACACAACATAATTAGCTATGTACCGCTATGTGCGCGCAATTATATACATGCGCTTGTAATGGCGCGGCGCAACGCTGTGTACGCTTATTATTTAATGGAGCACGAAAAAATTAAAAGCAACTTACAAACGCACACACGTGGCCACATTTATTTAYAAAAGCGCACAAAAGCGATGAAAAAATACTTGCAAAGCGGAAAGCATTCATTGTTGTTACCAAAATGRGGTGGAACGCGCGCCTACTGGCCGCTTCTACAGGTGCCACAGTCGCAGGTGCTGTCAGTATTTGGCGTAGATTTATTATTTTCAGCGCAAAAAATCATGCCGCACGCACTCACACACACACACACACACACATAAATTTAATAATAACAAGTTGAATGTGGAGAGTCACAACAAAAAATGTGCAAATGGCAGCCAGCTTCACTCCGAACTCATAAATTATGCAAAGATGTAAATGTTCGGGGATCCGATAATTTGCTGTAAGCCACTTGAGAGGCGAAATCGGTGGTGGATTCTGTGTGTGTGTTTTTTTTTTACAAATTACAAAACATTAATAAAATTAAGTGAAATTCATTTAATATTTTGKTTCAGCAATGAGTTTGCAATTCCTGTAATGAGACTCGTACTGCATTGGGAGCAGCCYAATTGGGTCAATTAGTTGACGCAATTAGTGTTTCGAAGTAAACAAAACAGATTTTAATGACATTTGGATGGTAAAGAACTAATATTAAAGGACTTCTTACTTAACTTCTCAATAATTTCTGAAAAGATTCAGTAAAATTTTTTYACAAATACATAGTGGCGTGATTAATGTAGAGTAAGTGTTCAATTAAGGTATATGTAAGGCCATAGTAGTAGCTAGTTATACAAAATAATGCAAAAGCGTTCCACTTAATTAAGACTTATTTGCATTACTTGACTTAGCAATAATTATGAACAGTTGAAGCTATGCCACTTACCTATCTTAACTCTTAACCAGACAGTGAGACAGAGGTAAAGAGCGAGAGAGAAAAGTGAAAGGTTTTAGAACATCTTTAATTGGACYTCAAAGTACTTCTTAAAACTTTACTGACGCCGATAACATTCTCTGCTTTTATACCATTAAAGGAAATAGGAATAGATTTAGTTATTTAACAAATTGTGTAAATAATTTAATCTATTAAAAAGTTGGCAATTATTTAGTCAATTTTCATTTTCATTGAATTTTGAAATTAATTTATTCCATTATCACAACTATAAAACCACTTAAAAAATTCAAACGAAAAAAATTAGAAGACAATTAAGGCAATTAATGAATTTAATAATTAATTTAGTCAAGTCACAATTTTAAAAACTGCGTAAGTGATTTAACAAATTAAGAGATGTGTCAATTTAGAAAATTGGAAATATTATAATTATTTTATTCAATACAAAATTAATTTTGAGCACTTAATTAAATAAATTATAAAATTAGGCAATTAATTTAATCAATTGTRAAATCAAGGAACTAATTAATTCACCCAACAAATTTGACAATTAATTTAGTCAACTTTTATGCCCGAGAATTAATTCAGTCAAATCGAATTTTTACGAACTAACTTAGTCAATTAAAAAATTAAGTATATAATTTAGTCAATTTACAAATCGGCGACTAAATTTAATCAATTTAAAAATTGTGTAATTAAATTTTAAAGTCACTTTATAATTCAGTCAATTAACAAGTTTAGGAATTAATTTAGTCATTTACAAATGAAAAAACAAAATAATTTCAATTTATCAAAAAAACTTTAGAGTGAATTTAGTCAAATGAAAATTTGTTAATTAATTTATTTAAATCACAGAATTAGGATTTAATTGAGTCAATTAAGCAACTAATTTAGACAAAAAACTTTCGAATTCATTTGGTTCAATAAAGTTTTTTTTACTTAATTAAACTAAATAAGGAATTCTGGAATTAATTGAGTAAATTAAGCAACTAACTATATAAAAAACTTTGGCGTTAATTTATTCAAATGAAAAATTTATGAATTAATTCAGCAAACTCTCAAATTAARGATTTAATTGAGTCAATTAAGTAAMTAATTTAATCAGTTTATTAATTGTGTAAGTAGTTTATTCCATTAAGAAATTTGAAACGTTAGGTGTGCTTCTTAACAAATGCGGCAATTAATTTATTCAATTAAAAAAACAGTTAATTTATTGAATTACCCTTTTAAGTATAGTTAGCTAATTTACTAAATTAAGCTGATTTTTTTTTGTTTTGTTAAATATAAACCGACTTTAGTTATACCGACAGTCCTGAAAGCAACTAAGCGATTAGCCAGTAGATGTAGCAATTTATAATACTAAAGCAGATTTCAAGGCGCACGAGCAATTACTTAGTGAAGCTAACCTTCAGCTTKCTAAAGTATATAAGTAATTAAAATGGCCAGGACAGTTCAACAGATTTCCTTAGCGATTATATAGAAATGTTTATTGGCCGAAAATATAGATTTTGAAACTGTACCTATATGATACACAAACAAAATTTAAGTCAAATATTCACTATGCTAAGAATCGCGTGGGTTAAATCAAGCATCATGAAGCATATGAAAAGCTAAAGATTAATGAATTATGTGTGAGCTTCCAGCGTAGGTCATATGTAGATAGATAAATTAAAGCATGCGAACTTGAGTATGGGTGTGCACAATGCAATTCAATTTACCTAAGGCTTATCCAATTAAAATCCTGTGAAGGGGATGAGAAAAATCAAAGTGCGAAAATCAGAAAATTCAATATGAAATTAATGAACAGCTGCTTTTAAGTGTCACACACAGCGATACACTTGCTGCCGAACAAACACACACGCTTGCATAAATGCACATACGCGTACATATAGCATACCCAGCGGATAGCAAACTGTTAGAACGCATCTTTTCAGCGCCAAGGCGAGCCGTGCATGGCGTATACGCAACATTTGGATGCGCTTGTGTGTGCAGACGC